TAGCCAGGATGGTCTCGATCTCCTGACCTTGTGATCCGCCCGTCTCGGCCTCCCAAAGTGCTGGGATTACAGGCTTGAGCCACCGCGCCCGGCTATACATAATTCTTTATGTACATTTCTGGTTTAGCATCATATCTTCTACAAAGTATGTTTTAGAAATACCTCAAGAAGTCACGGTCTAGAAACCAACACAGTGGGGACTCTGACTCAAAATACTGACCATGGCCAGCATGATTCTGGACACTGGGGACTTGGTGAGAATAAGACCGATACTCCTGCCCTTACGGGCCTTACATTTTAGTGCATGTGAGTTGGGCACAGAGTGACAGATACAAATATTTTAAACATAACTTCAGATATTGAGATGGACATTGAATAAAATAATAACATGTGAGAACATAACCAGAAGTAGAGGGAGAGGAGATAAAGAGAGGGAATGCAATTTAGGTAGATGGCCAGAGAAAGCCTCCTGCAGAAATGACACTTAAGCCAAAGATGCAGTGAAGAGACAGAATCATGCAAATATCCCAGAGAAGACCAACCAAGTACAACAAACAAGAAACACAGAAGCCCTGAAAAGGGAAGGAGCTCAGCTCAGCATATTAGGAGGATAGAAGGAAGGCACTGTGGCTGGAACATCATAGGAAGGGGTAGGGGCAGATCAGAGATGACTTCACTGGCCACAGTAAAGAATCTGGATCTGTATTCCAACTGTAATAAGAAATTGCTGTAAATTTATAAGTAGAAACACAATAGATCATTTAGGCTTGGAGATTAGTACAGTAGTTATACAGAGAATAGAACGTAAGGCGCAAAAGTAACAGCAGAGAAAGCTGCTAAAAGTCTGCGACTCTAACCAGTCAAGAGATGTCGGTGGCTTAAACCAGCATTTTAATAGCTGTGGTGGTGAAAAGTGTTCAGATTCAGGATATAGTTTGGCAGTAAGATCAACAGCCCTTGCTAATGGAGTCAGGATTCTGAGACTGAGTGAACTATCCATACCCGAGCGACTCAAGTCTCACCACAGACCTTCTCAACACTCACCATGCTGGGCTGTGTCCAGAGGGTGCAGGCAACAATTACTTGCAAAATCAATAATGAAATGTAAGATGTATTGTATTCTCTCACTTACCCAAATTCGGATCAGGAGCCTGACGTTTCTTAATTTTAGCTTCAGATATAGCAGAATAATAGGCACAAGTCATCTTGATCAACCACGTTGCTCGAACCATTGGCACAGAATATTTAGCTAAATATGCAAAAACATCCTCTTTTTTACTAAGGATAGGAACCTAAAAAGAAACAACATAGTATGTTTATAATAATCACATACTGTGTTCATCACTAGATAAACCTAAATAAAGGCGAAGCAAAAGAAAGAGGCTATAAGTTACCTGCTGGCTCTAAGAAAGTATATCCTTGATGGATTTTCAAATAGCACATGCAGTTTTTTTTTGTTTTTTTTTGTTTTTTTTTTTTTTTAGGAACATTTTAAGCCAATTTTCATTAAGAAAAAATAACCAAAACTAGGTTTAGCACAATAGAAAAGTTTCATTAGTTGTGCTTTCTATTTTTAAAAAAATAAATGATTTTCAGATTCTCAGATGCTGAGAGCTACTCATCTTATCAAAAGAGCAAGGAAAAATAATTTCATGACAGTCCTCCAAAGAATTTATCTCAAAATTGGAAGGGACAGACCAAGTGAAAATTGTTCCTACTCTGTATTTTATCCAGAACCTTTTTTGTGTGTGTACAAAGCTTTCTGATTAACATTTCATAAGAGTAACAATTTCCAGAAAGCTTCTGAAAGTGACATTAGTCCAAAATTTAAAAGAGAGGCTACAATGACGGATCAGTGTATCTGCCGAATAAACACTGAGCCAGAAATAGCTAGGTAATTAATTTACTGGTTGAAATTAGGCACTTGAGGCAGTTAATTATGTCTTCCAGACCACAAAGGTACTATTTAGCAAATTAGTATCCCAATGTACCACTGAATGGTTTGAAAGAGTTAATTCATTCTTCTAGTATCCCTCATAAATATCCTAAGAATAGCCCATTCATCTATATCATCTATTCAAGTTTATGAATATAAAGGAAGAAAAACAGTGAACAAAGACTACATTAGCCATGATGCAGCAGGATGAGAGCAATGAGACTGAGGGGCAAGGACATGCTCCACGCCAGCCATGACCCCCTCTGTACTCCACTCCTGAATGAAGCCTGTTTGGCTAAGCCCTTCACTCCTGGGATCCTCATTTATGAACTGTGTTATTAACATCAACCCTGTCCACCTCACAGGGTAGTTAAAAGGATAAAGCAAAACAATTACATGAATCAAAATTATAATGATTATTTTGTTGTCAGTTCCAAGGATTTCTCCATGCCAACCAAAGTGCTTTCAGGTCATGGATGTGACCCTTTCTTAAGAGGATCTGGAACAACACTACTATAAATACCAAGAGCCCTGGTCTCTCTGTCCCAAACTCTTACTTGATTTTGTGAAAATCAAGGCTTCAGACCAGCTAACTGATTCACACAGCAAGGCATTTTTCTCTTAACCAAATCCTCACTCATACAGTGGTATCTGTGCACTGATATGTCACAAATTTGACTATTCACACACTTGGTACAAAGTGTGATCCTAGAATAATTATTTTTAAGAGCTAATTATTTCAGTGTGTGGCCCTTAAAAACAAGCAAACTATTTCACCTGGCCTTGCCAAAGAACCATAAAGTTTTCCAATGCTGAAGGAAAAGCTGTCTGGGTTGCACATTAAGATGCAACGTATAGGCCCAGCACGGTGGCTCAGGACTATAATACCAGCACTTTGGGAAGCAGAGGCAGGTGGATCACTTGAGCCTATCAGCTTGAGACCAGCCCGGGCAACATGGCAAAACCTTACTAAAAATATAAAAATCAGGCAGGTGCAGTGGCACACACCTGTAGTCCCAGCTACTCAGGAGGCTGAAGTGGGAGAATTGCTTGAGCCTGGGAGGTAGAGGTTGCAGTGAGCCAAGATCATGCCACTGAACTCCACTCTGAGCGATACAGCGAGACCATGTCTCAAAAAAAAAAAAAAAAAAAATTGCAGTATATCCACATACATATTTCATGGGCAACTGAAGAGACTAGTCATGTACAGTTCCTGCCTTGGGTGCTGACTTCAGAACACAGACCCCATGACAGAGGCGATTACACTGCACCCAACACAACTAAACGGGAGATAAAAGTCACATAGGCCAAAGCCAGAAGGCTTCCTCTCTGCAGACCAGATACTAAATTGTATCTCTTTTAGACAAAAAAGACACAATTTAACAGGAACATTTCCTGAAAATGAGGCTTACAAGGCACATCTCTCATGGAGCACAAGGCTCTTGGCATACTGGCTATCATTTAAGTCAGGGACAAGAAAAGCACAGAGTTCAATATTCAGTTCAAGACCTGAGTAGCTGCTTTTCACCAGAATGTACAGTGTGGTGTCAGTGAGTTAAATTTTCATTGTCAAGGTGAGGCTGTCTCTCATTCAGACATGCCAAAAGGTTATATAGATCAAGACCTAAAACATAAACAAGTGCAAGTTAGCATCTCCAAAAGAGTCACTACTAGTAGTTATCTTTCATAGATGCCTAAAGGATTTCCTTTGAACTACAATTGGCAGAGGGGAAAAAATAAAACATCTGAACTTGTGAAATGTTTAGATGAGACAGTAAATAAAACTCAGCACAGATCTTACGTTAACAGCACAATGCAAACCTCTACCTCACTGTCCGTACTAGCAGAACCCCATGAGAATTGGTTGATGCAACTCAAGATTTCGGAATTCAGAAGAACGTATGTGAAAGAAGTTACTCAATTAAGAAAGCAGACCAACCAGACACATATTAATAATTTTGTCAAATCTACAGTTGGGCCAACTCAGAAAGATAAATACATTTATATTGACTAAAGTATTGACTTCCTCACCTTGTTGCATTACATGTTTTTCAATAAAGAATACATGTGATTTTAAATGACAGCTAAAACTTGGCAATCACAGGGCAGCCGTCTGGTTCTAAATCAAGCCACAGTTGCATCTAAGTACAGAAAGAAAATTAAGATACCTAGTATGTGCTGGTTTTCAAACCACAGAAGGGTGTCCTATCACCTTTCTCCTTGGATGCACATTATCACTGCATCCTCTGCTAAGCAAGGGTAAACGCAAAAGAAAATTTCACAGACCACAGTAATCAAAGTCACCTGAAGGGAACAGGTGAGAGTTAATGAACTGTTCAAGACCTGGAAGAATATCCCTAGATGCCAGAAGTCTATTTTTCCAAATCGATCTATAATTGTGATTGAGTTAAAAGGTCCTTTACAAGCCTCTGTGGATAAAGCCTTGGCACGCTGTGAAGCTTCACAGTAGCAGAAAACCAGGTCCTGAAATATCATCCATACAGGAAACCATTATGAACTCAAGATAAGATTTCAAAGATGACTCAGGATCTTAGCAGGTAAACCCAGGCTTTCTACCTTAAGCCATCGCACAGATGAATACCAAAAATTAAAGAAGTATTTGAACTCTCTAATATGAAGAACATGCAGAGAATGCATTGCTTTACCCCATTCTAAAAGAGATTTCACCATCTCAAGAAGATGATATGCTGAGGAGGGAAGGGGAAGGATTCTTGAAATGCCCAAGAAATGAATATTTCAAAGTATATTTAATCGTTTTACAAAGAAAACATCTTCAAGTTTACAAAGAATTAACATCAGGGCTTACCTGAGGAACACCTGACTTGGCCAGAGGCAGCTCCTAATAAAGAAAGAAGAATAATGGCTAATACACTGCACCATGATTCATCTTCCTCCTACAAGAGGAGAAACCACTACTCCCCTAGAGCAAGGGCATCAACTCCTCAAGAGTAGCAAATCCCAAATATGCACTGTAAAAACTTATGAAAAAAAGAAAAACTAAATGGAAAGATGTCAGGCTGGCAACATGGAAAGTATGAATGGTTAGTCAAAAGCCATCAAATATTGAAGGATGCCCTATGACTTATAGGGCCTTCAGATACAATTCACAGGCCACAGTGGGACTACAAAGTAAATATTCACCACTGGAAAAGAAGTCATACATGGTTCAGCCTGGATTGAGACAGTGGTACTAACTGAATGGTAAGAGGTGGTTATGCTGACTGTACACTCTTTCAAGATTTCAGTTGCCTTTCACCACTGAAATCTACACAAGGCAATACAACATTATGACATTCAGGCAAAATAAAGCCAATGGAAGCTACAGACACTATTTTCAAAGAGCTGCTTTGGAAAATAGGCAAATATACAAAAGAGCTCCTCTATAAACTGGGCCTGTACCAAGCTGATAAGGAAAACTTAACACTAAGAACAGAAGACAGGCACTACTAACACTAAAGGGCCTTAGGAGAGATAAGAAAAGATCCCTGGGATTATTTCAAAGTTGTGCAAGAAATCAGAGATCAGGACTATGAGCAAGGTATCTAGTTTCTTATATAAATTTCAAGAGGTATCTTATATTGTTTGGACCACGAGACTGTTGAATCTGTGTATTATTTCCCACTTGAGGAAAATGACCAAAGGCAAAGATTTTAAAAGAACCTCCCACATCCCCTCCCCTATAAAAAAAGCTAGAAGCTATGAATAAACCTGCCCATTTTGTTCTAAAAATTTTTCAAAGAACAAGCACACATAGAATCACAATCTTTATCTCGCTTGGTAGGAAGGAGACAGCTTGAAGCATTTGGATGGGTACTTTTAAAGACAAGAAAATAACCTCAAAGCAAGAATCTTTTTAACAAATCTTGGACATCTTGGCCTAAGAAAACTGGAAATGTAATTTTTTTTTAATGCAGGCTTCTTGTCTGTTCTCGATTTTAAAATCTTGTCTACCTAAAATCCACATAAACAGCTTGATATGTGGAATGTTTAGGGATTTATAGATGTCCTAGGCACCACATGCAATCAAACAAAAGGGGAAAACAGCATGGGGTGGCACCCACCTGGTACCACAAACCTGCCATTGGGCTTGCAGTCTCAAAAAGAATTGGGAAAAACAAAAATATACTTGAACATCATCCCAAACAGCTGATTGTAAGACCATAACTAAAACAATGTAAGAAATATTTGATACCTTTTTTGCCAAAATAGAAAGCGGCTTATTTCCTGCTAAGTCAGAAAACCAACTATGAATTGCACTCTGGGATCGAGCAGTAACCAGCCAATAATTATCTTTAGCATTAACTTGTGGTTTCTTCTTTCCCGTGTCCTGGAAAGTGTTAAGCTTCAGTTTCTCAGCTAATATGCTGCTAAAATAAGCTCCAATCTGTGGAAAGAAGAGAAAAAAAGGGAAAGTTAAGACAATAAACAAGTAGCTTAGTACTGTACATTAGTATTTTATCTTTATTGTTTCAACTGAAAATCTTCATACAGCCCATCAGAAATTAAATTGGGAATTTAAGTCTTTGAATCCAAGTGATGTGATTTCCTTACACTAACTATGATACACAGCACCTTTATACCACTATTCACAAGTAGTTTGGCAGAGGGGGGCGAGGGGGGCCTTTGGAAATCTCTGCTAAGATGAAATTAATTACATCCTGAATAAATTTCAGTAGAATGGATTCTGCTTTAATCCTTCAGCTGCTCTTTCTCCTTTCTAATACTACACACCCGTCAGGAGAGAATGCTTTCCCTGAGAGAAGAAAGTCTAGTAATCACTCAGTAATCATTCTTTTTCTTGTTTCATCTTAATAGCACTTATTTTTGGAAAGGAAACTCGGTATTTACACTCAATGCTTTTAAACAAAGAATCTAGAGAAATTTAATTTATTTAAATGGCAAATTACAAAAGGTTCAATTAAATTTGGTATTCAACATTTTTTATTGGGCTGCCAATTTCACAACTACAAATGATTCAAGAAAAAGCTAGTATTACCTGCTCTGAATGACGCAAAGTGGCAAAGAAAGCTACTATGAATTACTGTATCGTTTTCATATTAACCAAATTAAAAGATGGACAAGGAAAAAAGAAAGGAACAGGAAAGAACTAACAAGAAGGCAGAGAACAAAGTAATAGCTAAAAATTTAGTGAATCTCACTGGGTGTGGTGGCTCACACCTGTAATCACAGCACTTTGGGAAGCCAAGGCAGGTGGATCACCTGAGGTTAAGAGTTTGAGACCAGCCTGGCCAACATGATGAAACCCCGTCTCTTCTAAAAAAAAAAAAAATAAAAAAATAAATTAGCCTGACATGCGGGGAGGCTGAGGCATGAGAATCACTTGAACCCGGGAGCCAGAGGTTGCAGTGAGCCAAGATCACACCACTATACTCCAGCCTGGATGACAGAGTGAGACTCCATCTCCAAAAAAAAAAAAAAAAATTCAGTCAATCTATAAAAAATCTGTTGGAATTTTTTCAAGAATCCTATCAAAGCATCACATTTCAGACTCTGGGAGTTCTTTAATAAGATGATGCAGTTAATTTCTGATAAATATCCCCAATGAAGTTAGCAAACAGTGGCAACCATGACTAAAATAAAATACTTACCCTGATGAAGCAAAATAAGAATCACCACCTTAACTAATGAGTCAATAAACAATTAGTCCACAGGTTGAAACACAGTTCTAAGCCATTAGCCAAGTTCATCTATAGGGTGAAAAGCCTGACGTTCTTTGATCTTTGTGATTGGTGTAATGACAAGAAGTCCGGTTTTAGCGTGTTAATGTAATACAATAATAAAAATTAGAATAAGTAGAAAAGGAGTCTTTTTTTTATGCAAAGAACTTCACCGCAGTTTGTGATTTATTTTAAAGCAAATATTTGCAGGATGTCCAAACAGTGAATAAATTAAGTGCAAAAATGTAGCAGAACCAGCTGTTTGGAAACAAGCAGCCAGTAGCAGCCAACTGTTTAATTTTAAATTTCTCAATTGATATTTGGTCTTTGCACTAAGAGCACAAAACACCTACGGCTGCAGATTGCTATATATTCAAGAGGTCTCTTATTTGTAATTATGTTTAAGTATTTAATAATAATAAACAGAGCTCTAAAAACGAAAAAAGTAGTCTGAGCAATCTATTTTATAATTATATTCTCCTATATACTTAATGACAGCAATGGAACAGTGACTGCATGTGTATATATTAATTCCTGCTAACAAGCCCTTGTAAACAAATGCCTACTGTTAACAAAGTCAAAATTCCCAAGAAAGCAGAACACTAGAAAATGTACATTAGGGCTCCAAAAAAGGTCAAAACATGATTATAACACTTAATTGCCATAGCAATACATATTATTCAGAAATCAATCCATAAATACAATAAAAAGCAAAGAGCCACCTCATTCCCAAGTCCCAATGCCTACCTCCAAGTAAACAATTTGATTCATTTCTTATGTGTCCTTCCATTGTTTCCTTATGTGGATACAGGAGAGTAAACACGCATCTATTATTTTTCTCTTCCTTGTATGTATAACTCATTATGCATACTTAGTAAATGTTTGAGACCCTTCCTTATCTGTACACAGAAAGCCTCGTCATTTTTATAGACACATAACAATGTACTGTCTGGATATACATTTAATCAAGTTACCATTAATGGACAGCATTTGTTCCAAAATTTTGCTATTACAAATCACACTAAAATGAGTAGCCTTTCACATTTGTTATTTCATACATAGCTAGAGCTTTAGGACAGACTTCCAGAATTCAGACTGTATAATTCTGCAATTTTAATAAGCGTTGCCAAATTGCCCTCTAAAAGGTTTATACAATTGTGTACTCCTGCAAACAAGGTATAAGAGGTAAGGTGTCTTTTGTTTAGTTTTGGGTTTTTTTTTTTTTTTTTGAGACAGAGTCTCACTCTGTTATCTAGACTAGAAGGCACTGGCGTGATTCTGGCTCACTGCAACTGCTGTCTCCTGGGTTCAAGAGATTCTCCCGCCTCATCCTCTCAAGAGTAGCTGGGATTACGGGTGCCCACTACCACACCCAGCTCCTTTTTATTTTTTATTTTTTTTATTTTTAGTAGAGACGGGGTTTCACCATGTTGGCCAGGCTGGTCTCGAACTCCTGACTTCAGGTGATCCGCCCGCCTCGGCCTCCCAAATTGCTGGGATTACAGGTGTGAGCCATCACACACGGCCAGAGATAAGGTTAAATTTAACATTTGTTTCCATCCATCCAAAGTTATTTTCAAAAATAATTAATTTGATAAGAATGTGGGGAAAAAATTTAGGAGTTACATTATAATTCATGTATTTCATATTTATAAAATCAAATTCCCCTCAGAAGTCTTGGGTCCTTGAGTAAATCTCACAGAAAGAGTGGTAGCAGAAGTGTAATAGATGTTATTTCCATTTACTCAGTTATTTAAATTGACATAAAACTTGATACAACTGAACAATTTAGCAGTTCATATCAAGAGACATAAAGCGTTCATACTCTCTATTACGGACTAAATTGTACATCCTCAAAATTCATCTTCAAGTCTTAACCCTCAGTGTGACTATATTTGGAGATAGGGCTTTAAGGAGGTAATTAAGGTTAAATAAGGTGATATGACTGGGCCCTAATCCAGTAGGACTTTATAAGAATAAGAGACACCACAGAGGAACACACAAGGAGAAAAGACCATGTGAAGACACAGTGAGAAGGCGGCCATCTGCAAGCCAAGGAGAGAGGCATCTGGAGACACCAGACCTGCTGACACCTTATCTTGGACTTCCAGCCTTCAGATGGTGAGAAATTAAATTTCTGTTGTTTAAGACACCCAGTCTGAAGTATTTTGTTATAGCAGCCCTAGTACATTAATACACCCTTTAACCAAGTAGTAATACAATTCAGGGAATTTATCCTAAAGAACAAAAGTTATACTTTCAAGTATTACTACAGTTTCTTTATAAATAACCATGAGAAATTGGCAACAAACTAACTGCTGTATATAGAGGTTTCAGTCAATTACAGCACATATATACATCATGGAATGTTATCTAGCCATGAATTATTATTCATATGACTACTTCAGCCATAAGGAAAAGTGCATACAAAATAATGTTTCAATTTTTTAAGGCAGACCAATTAAGAAAGATAAGACTCTGAGGCCGGGCACAGTGGCTCACATCTGTAATCCCAGCACTTTGGGAGGCCAAGGCAGGCAGATCATTTAAGGCGAGGAGTTTGAGACCATCTGGCCAACATGGTGAAACCCTGTCTCTACAAAAATACAAAAATTAGCCAGGTGTGGTGGCAGGCGTGGCCAGCTACTCGGGAGGCTGAGGCACAAGAATGGCTTAAACGAGAAAGGCAGAGGTTGCAGTGAGTGAAGATTGCGCCACTGCACTCCAGCCTGGGCGATGGAGCCAGACTTCACCTTGTAGATCTGGTTTGGAAGAGAACAAGATAAACTTGGAATATGTCTCAAAAAAAAAAAAACAGTTCTGGAGATGGATGGTGACAATGGTTGATGTTTGTGACAACAATGCGAAATATACTTAATGACCAAGAACTGTACACTTAAAAATGGTTAAATGGTAAATGTTTTATCATAATTTTTAAAAAGGATCACAAATTACATATACATAATTGTGGTTTTAACATAAAAAATTGTACCAAGATTGAAAAAAGACAAAACTAAAAACATTGTGTTTGGTCAATAGGACTATCTGCAGAAAATGTTTCTATTTTCTTTCACACCACTTAAGTAATATTTCAGTTGATAGTTTAACAACTTGTGTGCACTTGTGTGCATATAAAGAGAGATCTGGAATGATGCGCAAACCATTAACATTTCTCTGGAGAAGGGAAAGGAAATAGAAATTCACCTGCATGTCTGATTTCTTTTCATTTGTATGTATGTTTCTAATTTCACAAAAGTATTTTAATATCCAACTCAAAATATATGAAAAAAAATCAAACCCTAAAAGATTACAGAGAAACGCAAACAATTCTATTTATATTCCTTTTTTTGAAACGGAGTCTAGCTCTGTCACCCAGGCTGGAGTGCAATGGCACGATCTCAGCTCACTGCAACCTCTGCCTCCTGGGTTCAAGCGATTCTCCTGCCTCGGCCTCCCAAGTAGCTGGGATTACAGATGCCTGCCACCACACCCAGCTAATTTTTGTATTTTTAGTAGAGACAGGGTTTCACCATGTTGGCCAGGCTGGTCTCAAACTCCTGACCTCAGGTGATTCGCCTGCCTCGGCCTCCCCAAGTGCTGGGATTACAAGCGTGAGCCACTGCACCTAGCCTATATTACTAATTGATAAGATAAATGCAGAGAAAAAGACATATAATTTAAAAAAAAAAAATTTTAAGCACAACATTCTGAGTATATACTTTTAATGAAAGTCTAAGGGCAAAAAGTATTGTAGAAAAATTGCACATTGATTCAGTGGTTTTGTTGCTGGAGTGGCAATGAAGTATTTTATTCTGGAACTTTTTTATGTGTGCTGTAAGAATAAATAAATATATATATTGATATTATTAAGAGCCAGAGTTCTCATTTTGGGAGAAGGGAGACCTAAAAATGGAATACGAAAAAGCAGGGGAAATACCCTGCGGCACTGGGCTAGAAATGGTAATAACAGGTAGGTAGAAAAAATATGTATCTATGTTTCCCATCTCTATCCACTGAGAAAGCCTAGAAAGAATGACACTCCAGTAGCACTGAGCATACACTTCTGGTTTGGGAAAGAACAAGATAAACTTGGAATATGTTTTGGTGCCAAAAGTAGGGAAGTGCTCAAAGGATGACAAGGACATTTAACCAGCAGCCAGGTTAGCGGGGTCCCTACTAGCAGAACATGAGACAATCTGAGCATCAAAAAGAAAAATGAAGGTATGGATTATAACACGTCAAATTAAAAGAAAAAAAAATAATCCAACGTGACACTAAAAACTTGAGTGTAAAAGGAAGTACTTCTTTTAACAAAAGAATGCCAAGTAAAACATGCATATGGAATAATTAGAAAACCTGCATTTTGCAATCACCAGCAAAATAAATCATTCAGCAGGAGTCATCAAGTGATGCTAAAATAACAGGATGAAATTTTATTGAAAAATAGGATATTTATATCCTCTCAAATTATCACTTGTAGACCTTACTAAGAGGTAGAGAGGACTACCTTTCCAATGCAGGGAGATGGTTCCAATGCATGGAGATGCAGGGAGATGGACACCACCCAGAACAAGTGATCAAATTATAGCCAACAATAGGGCAAACTGGCATTGTGTGTCTCCTGATATGATGCAATGTAGTCTTCTTACCAAAAATATCTAACCTGGATCCTGTCACGAGAAAACAATCAGAAAAATCTAGAATATAGCACTAGTATATCAGACAACTGACCTGGGCTCTTCTAGAATAGCAATCATAAAAGCCTTTTTAAAAAAAGGCAGGAAAGGGGAGGAGGGAGAGGCAGAGAGCTGTACTGTACTAAATTAAAAGATGTGACAACTAAATGCAATGTATGATCCCTGATTGGATCCTGGGGCAGGACAGCATACAGGGTATTTGGGGGAAATCTGAATATGGACTGTAGCTTAAGTAACACTAATTTATCAACACTGATTATTAAGGGTGTCACATATACAAACTTCTTCAGGAGTCTGAGGAAATAAACAAATAACATTACCTTTGATGGGTTAATTACAATATTTCTAGCTGAGCCATGTTCATCTCCAGTGAAGGCTGGCTGATTATTGAAGCCTTGCTTTACATTCACAGCAGTAAGTTCATCCTGTTCAAGAGAAGGTATTGATTAAGCAAAAGGATGTAAAAGCTTCAACATAATCCAACATATTGCACCCTAAGTAATGGCTAAATTTGTTATACTCTGTAGAGGAGAATTCTTGAAAGGACAACAATCAAAGAAGGCAGAAATTGAAGTTTAAACACCAATACATAAATGTGTAGAGGGAAGGAGCAAATGTGGCAAATGTTAACTGTTGACTCTAGGTGCTGAGTACATGGGTGTTCATTATACTATCTTTTTTTTTTTTTTTGGAGATGGAGTCTCACTCTGTCACCCAGGCTGGAGTGCAGTGGTGTACTCTCAGCTCATTGCAATCTCCACCTCCCTGGTTCAAGTCAATCTCCTGCCTCAGCCTCCCGAGTAGCTGGGATTACATACAGGCACCCGTCACAACAGCAGGCTAATCTTTGTATTTTTAGTAGAGATGGGGTTTCACCATTTTGTCCAGGCTGGCCTCAAACTCTTGACCTCAAGTGATTCTCTGGCCTTAGCCTCCCAAAGTGCTGGGATTACAGGTGTAAGCCACCGCACCTGGCCCATTATACTATTCCTTTAACTTTCCTGTAAGTTTAGATTTTTTTTTTAACTTATAAGTTAGAAAAAGGAAAAAAAATTGAGCAAAAATCTCACAGAAATATAAAATAGGATTTTTTTTAAGAATTGTTTCCAGGCCGGGCGCGGTGGCTCACGCCTGTAATCCCAGCACTTTGTGAGTCCGAGGCAGGTGGATCACCTGAGGTTAGGAGTTCAAGATCAGCCTGGCCAACATGATGAGACCCCATCTCTACTAAAAACACAAAAATTAGCTGGGCGTGGTAGCAGACGCCTGTGATCCCAGCTACTCTGGAGGCTGAGGCAGGAAAATCGCTAGAACCTGGGAGGTGGAGGTTGAAGTGAGCCGAGATCGCGCCACTGCACTCCAGCCTGGGCAACAGAGTGAGACTCCATCTCAAAAAAAAGAAAAAAAAAGTGTTTCCAGAGAACCCATAGTTTGACTCTCCATTTGTGGCCAACCCCTATGCACACACCTGTTTTATGTTTAAGAAAGCTGGTTCACCAACTTACCCAAGACATATGATGAATTAAAGACAGAAGTAAAGGGTTCCTAGGCACATGCCCTATGATCACAGTCACACAACATCACAACCCACAACTGAAAGGAAGTTTAGAGCTGCAATGTTTTCTCAAGTATTTTGGCTCACTTGATCTTTACCAACTCCAATTCCAAAGGAGACAGTAGGCATGTATCTTCACGCCCGTTGTACAGATGAGAAAAGTGTGCCTCACTAAGCTAGTGCAGCAACTGGACAAAGCCAGCACGGAAATACTATCTTCTAAATCCTAGACTAGGAAGAGAAATTTCCATGACACCATGCCACCAAAGAACAAATGCCACATGAAAATGTGGTCTAAAAATATGTGGCTACAACTCCTACTCTCCTTAAAAAGATCTCCTACTGGACAGATATAAGAACACTTTTCCAAGGTCACAACACATCAAAAATAACCCAAGCCTTTTAAAAAAAAAAAAAAAAACCTTCTTGCCCTACCCAGATTATCACTGAGTTATGGAACGAAATCAGAATTCCTAAAATACAGACTTGAAAGAATAAGAGGGAGAGGTTTGAGTAAATGAAGCTACCTCCTGCTCCCCTCACTCCAAGCCAAGAAATAATCCTAGTAACAGTTGAGAGTAATGGTAGCCACGGCACAAGAATAAGACACACTTATTCCTTTAAGTAACTGCTGCATGCGTAAAATGAAAAACAGCAATTGATCAAAATCACTGTTACGATTAATCAAGAAGCTTAGAACAAAATAGTTTATGACATTTAAGCACCTAACCAAACTCTAAAAAGGTCACCTTGGCTGAGAACAAAGGTCTCCTGGAGACATGCCATGTAACTTTACTTAATTATGTGTGCTCTTACTAATGCCTTGGCGGGCCACTGTTTTGGCGAGTTTTCAAAAGACCCCTCAATAGGAAATTTCACTCTATGGTAATCACAAGTCTCCTCCAAGTATAGAAGGTCACTGAAATCGTGATCCACGCAGAATAGAAGTTACAAGTACATTATCAGAAGATATCTCCAAACTGCTCCCACATTTTCAAATAAAGTATGTGAAAATATAGAGCAAAACTACATAATGCATATTTTAAGTCAGAAAGATTTCAGTCAACTTAAAGCAAATGTGCTATCGAAATTTCAGTAGTCTCTGAGTCTAAGAAAGTAGGAGTACCAGCAGTGAGCTCAGGGGGAAAGTAGGAAGAGAAAACTGAATATTTATCTTTGATTTACCATCAGAGTATTATAAGAAACATTGAGTAACAGCATATGCTTTTACTAAAAATACATTCTGGCCTAATCAAGAAGAATGTGTGAGATTTTCAGAACCAGATAGTTTAGTATTGCTTCACTTTTTAGTTTATACTAACACCAGATCAGGTAGCTGCTCATTGTATCCAACTGCTAATCGCTGGGACGAAGACACATGCCCACTCCTGAGTGTGTGCGCAAACTCAGAACCCCCAGAAGGAAAAGAACATGGAACTATGGATACATATCTGTCATCTACCTCAGATTTTCCTCAAACTAGGAGCCACATGGATATTATTGGGAGCCTTGAGTTCTGAGAAGTTTAAACTTTGCATTCTAAATTTCGCAAAAATACATGTAGTTTGACCACTTCTCATTACCACCATGCATCATCTCATGCTTAGGCAATGCAATGGCTCCTAACTGGTCTCCTAGCCTCTCCCCTTTCCCCCTGAAGGCCACTTTGAACACAGCAGCCATAGGGAGCTTTTTAAAACTCAAGTGAGACCATGTCACTCCTGCTCAAAGCCTGCAATAATGTTCCATTTTACTCAAAGTACAAGCAAAGGCCCTATGATGTCCTAAAAGTTCCTGTGTGATCTTAACCCTGTTGCCTTTCTGGCCTAATCACTAACGACACTCTCCTTCACTAACACTGTCTGGTCTCCTTACAATTCCTCAAACATACCAGCCCAGCATTCTCTAATCAGGGATTTTGCACTGTCTGTTCCCCCTGCCTAGACTGCTCTTTTTCCTGGTATCCACATGGTCAACGACCTGACCACCTTAACTTTTTGCTCAAATTTCACATTCTCAATGAGAAATGTGATGACCCTATTTAAACTGGAACTGTCCACCCATTCCCTTTACCTCCCAGCATTCCTGATCCTTCAACAATCCATAGCATTTATCACCTAAAACACACTATAATTTAGAATGTGTATTGGCTGTCTCCTCGATGAGAAGATAAGGTGCGTAAAACTGGGGATCTTTATTTTGTTGACAAACACAGGCCAAGCACAGAGTGCACAGATGCAGTGCCTGGCAAACAGCACACATTGCAGGTGTTCAAAAAATATTTGTTCAAAGAATAAATAAATGAACGACATCCTATTCTGAACAATTAACATGAGCATATTCTGAGTCACTACCTCATGAATTTGGAGTTGTAATTTCATTTGTGTTTCTAACTAGCACCGCTTTGTCACCCAGGGTAGGGGCACTCATCCCATCACACCCCACATACCATCCTGAAAACAACATTTTATAACATCAATTTCCCAAGTGTGAAATGAAATTCATAAATAACTTACCTATACCAATATTTTTTAAATCAGTATAATGCTCTCATTCTAAAACTTTTTAAAAAGAAAGTAACTTAAAATAGGTACTTCAACAGGAAACGCTCAGGCACACTACACTGGACTCTCACAACTGAAAGTGTGGTCCATGGCCCTGGAGCACTGGCATTACCTGCAAGCCGGTTAGAAAGGCAGAATCTCACTCCTACCCCAGAGTCACAATCAGCCTTTTAACAAATTCCCACATGATTCATGGACACATTAGACTTTGAAGAAGCAGGGCCCTAGAAGGCTGAGAATTGCTTGAACCCGGGAGGCGGAGGTTGCTGTGAGCAGAGATCATGCCACTGCACTCCAGCCTGGGCAACAGAGCGAGACTCCGTCTCAAAAAAATACAAAAGAAATTGTTAAATGTTTGTTCCTATTCCTAGCATTAGCATAACACAGTAACTACAAAATGCAAACTGATACAAGTGTGCTGTATTACCATTTCAAATGATCAGGAAGAGCATAACATGAATTTTTTGAAACTGTGAAACACTTTTGCTATAGTTTCAAACTAACAAAATAGTCTCCCAATATATTAAGACACAACAGTTACATTCCTCAGAAACTCAATGTATATTAAAATCATACAAAAAATACTTTGAGATTATACGTAAAACAGATTCCTATCTGAGGTGGGTAAAAACAGTTGAAGGTTTCAGTGACACATCTGAAAGTGCAGGGGACACGGGACAATTCTTCATGGAACCCACCCATCTGCACCCTGAGGACAACCCCACCCACTCAATGGTAGCAGCCACAACCAACTAACTCCTCTCCCCGCACCCAGATTTCCACAGTACTTCCAGTGAGAGCCACAGACCCGCCAGAGGGATAGCTTTTATCTTTTAGAGCCCTATTCTGAAAAGGGGGTTCACAGGCTCTGGGTTTAAGAAACACTGAGCTCCACACTGAAGTGTCAGTCAAAATCTTGCTCGTGCTGCAATTGGGGATGCTCTAATTCCAACTCACTAGGCCATCCTCTGGTTCGCATAGGTGGTTCCAGGCGGATACACGCTGGCACCATGGAGTGACTGATGGAGATGCAGACACGAGTGGGGAGAATACTGTGGGTAAGAGCCCAGAGTCTGCAATCAGACAGCTCGAATGTAAACCCCCCACTACATTTAAGAGGGACTCTAAGCAAGCTCTGGGACCACTGCTGTGCTTCCATTTCCCCAATTGTAAAACGGGGACAGTAACAGTTTCTACCACGTTATCTCCATAACCCAGTTCAAAAAAAAGAGCCCAGAGAGAAACTAATGTGGCCAAGGTTACACAGTAGTGAAGAATTCCAAAAAGTCCATGCTCCCAACCATCA